TTTACAGCTAGGTGTGGTGGCACATGCCCTGTAATCTCAGCACTCAGAAGGCTGAGGCAGGAGGATGGCTGTGATTTCAAGGCCAACTTGGGCTACACAGTGAGTTTTCGACACCAGCTTGAACCACATAGTGAGATCTTGTCTCAAAAACAAAGAAACTGTGTATAGGGTGGTCCTATTGACCACTTTTCTGAGTGAAGCCTGAGATCTAGGAAATGATTCAGGCTCTGGGAAGAGATCCAGAAATACCCAGCACTTCTGTAGAATTGGAAACACACTGCTGTCTTCTTCACTTTGACAGGTGGAACACTTCATATATACAATTTCTCTATTTCTGAACCTGCTCCTTCAGATTATTATAAAATAGGATGTCCCGTTATAAAATAGGCTGTCCCTAAATATACAAAGCTGCGAAAAACAGAGAGAAGTCACCATAATTTACAACCTACATAAAACAATTAAAATTTTGTTCTATTTCCACCATTTCTTCTGAACTTATTTTAAAAAGCTGATCCTCTTCTGGTGGGCTGTTCTGTTTTGTTTCTGGCTTTTGGTTTGTTTTTAAAAATCTCCAGGAGGAGGGTAGATGTTCCTGAAGATAAGAACAAGCAAACAAAAAGCCATCTTTCTTATTTTTAAAGCGTGAACTTTGGAAATTACATAAGAAGCAATTAGCTCTGCTATTTGAGAAACATTACAGAAAAAAAAAATTCAGCAGAGCAGCAACAAACTCCTTAAAAAGGGCAAAAATGTAAGCTATCAGCCGGCTGTAAACACCCTCTTACAGAAATCCTGCCAAAGTGAATCAGTGGACAGTGAGTTCTCAGACAAGGAGGAAGTAATAGATAAAATCTACAGGCTTCGGCTGAGATTTGTATTCGGTCTCAAGTGACCAGGATCGCTCAACAAGCAGAAACACCCCCACTGGGAGAGAATGAGGTGGTTAAGGGGGATGACTGGGGGGCTGTCGGGGCTCTGTATCATCCTTAGGTGACATTTTAAAGGCCTTCCTACTGTGGTTCATCCCTATTCTGGCGGATTTCAATATCTTTACCAACAGCTTTATAAAGAGATAAATAATAGATAGCTACCACATTTCTCCAAAAATAAGACCTAGCTGGAAAAGAATCGGCCTTAACTAAGGATCAAAAAATGACATAGCCATCCTTGCCTTACCTGCCTTACAGAGTAGCCACCGTGCAGAAAAGAACAGTGACAGCAGGTAAGGCCGGAAGGACAGGCTGATTGAGGCTGGCATTTTTGATCTCCAGTTCTCAAGGCTGATTCTTTTCCAGCTAGGTCTTATTTTCCAGGAAAGAGGATATTATGAAATGTAGAACATGCCTATTAACCTAAAAAGCCCAGGCCTTCTGAATGCAAGCCCGGGGTGCTTTTCACTATTCCGTGCAGGGCAGGGCTGGCCGCCAGATGTCCTAGGAAGACCTGGTGGGCTACGTGGTGGGTGCGCACACACATACACATTGGAAGCATATTTAAATGGTGAGGCCAAAGTCAATGCCAAAAATCCAAGCGTAGAGGCACTTTATTTTTCATTTACTTACTTATTTATTTTTTGCTCTGAGACAGGGTTTTGCTATGCAGTTCAGGCTGGCCTCAAACTTACTTTGTAGCCCAGGTTGGCCTTCAATGCACAGCAATCCTCCTGCCTCAGCCTCTAGAGTGCTGGGATTGTAGGCGTGCGCTTTAAATGGAAGTAGTCTGGAGGAGAGTTGTATAATAAGGGAAGTAAATGTAACCATGCGCTGCAAGTGGATGAGCAAGAGAGTTCTTGAAATAGCTTGTGACTTGTCTGAAGCATATGGGAAAAAAACTTCTCTCCGCAGGACAATATATTCACCCATCTCCCTCTAGGACTTCTTTTTATTGAGCACCTACTATGAGCCAGGCGCTCTCCTGAGCACTTCTCACCTTCATGGGGGTGAGCCCACCCCCACAGGAAGCGCATGCTGGTTGGTCTCTCCAGCCACACCTCCTGGTTACTCTAGGAAGCTACAGAGGGGAGAAGCAGCAAGTTCACTTACCTGGCCCGCCAGGTTGAAATAAGAATGGTTGGTCAGATTAACCGGCGTGGCCTGGCTGGCCTGTGCTCTATAGTTGACCATGAGCTCCCCACCATCCAGAGTATACGTCACCCAGACTTTCAGCTCCCCAGGGTAGCCTTCCTCACCGTCCGGACTGATGCGGGAAAACCGGACACCATTGGACAGCACTTGAGGTGTCCAGAGGACCTAGGAAAGAAATGTTTTCACAGCTGCTTAGTGAAACCAGCCCCACGCTAAACGCCACATTTCAATATGAAAGATAACGGATTCCAGAAAGGGAAATAGTTATATAATTAAGGCTTTTGACTAAGAGCTTGAATTTTAACTAACCTAAAACTTTGTTTTACTGGGTTAAGTGGTTTTTGAAAATAATTACTTTTCTCTGTACCTATTCCCATTCCCTATATGTTTTCTAATTTTATATGTAGCTATAATATTTTTCTTTCCTTCTTGGATTTTTTTCTTTGATATATATGTATTCTAATCTTGATGCTCCACTCCCATAAATGTCATGCAGCAACACCTTTTAACAGTACTAAAAATAGCCTTAATGAATCACCCTTTTTCTCCTGAGGTACTGTATACAGATACTTATACAAACTCCAAGGTTCTTCTGTCCCCAGGGCAGAATTCATTTAATTATTTATTTTAAAATTTTATTTATTTATTTATTTATTTGTGCCGGGAATTTAACTCATGACCTCAGGCTTGCCAGGTAAGCACTTATGCTGCTGAGCTATATCCCCCTCAGGGCAGAATTTAAAACAAATAAGGTACTTATTTTCCATTCGGAAGCATTCCAACCTCCAAGTCTAGAATCCTAATTTGGAGGCCTGCTTTGTTCCTAATTCATTGTGTGACTTCCAGCATTGATCTTTCTATAAAATAAAGGCGTTTAAAAATTATGTTGGAGCCGGGCGTGGAGGCACATGCCTGTAATCCCAGCATTTGGGAGGTTGATGCAGGAGGATCTTCGAGAGTTTGAGACCAGCCTATGTTACAAATTCGAGCTCAAGGCCAGCCTGTACTGCATAGTAAGACCTTGTCTCAAAAAGACAAAAAACATTATGTTGGCAGCTTCTTCTTGTTCTAGCAAATACGATTCTAAGAATGACAAGAAAAATATGGGAGAAGTTTTCTAAAAGAGCTTTTAGAACTAGGAATAGGAACCCTAGATTAACACAGGGGCTCCTCTCCTAAGGCCACACTTCTAGACGGGAAAAAAATCAACACTTATCGAGTGCCCAGTGTAAGCCAGGACATTGGCTAGAAACTTCACAGCCCCAATCTCACTTCTCTCAGAGCAGACTTAAAGTAGATGTCCTTGTCCTCACTGGGAAAGAGAATGGAGGCTCAGAAAGGATAATCTGCTTGCCCCAGGCCTCGTAGTTCTGGAGGGATGCGCATTTGCCCTGGAGCCTGACCCTGTTCCCTTACTTTGCTGGCCAGAGAGTCTCAGTCCCTTGAGAGTCCTGGGGTCACTAATAAAGAGCCTTTAGCAGATAAAAGACCTACAATTTGTGCAGTGCCCACCCGTCACTCACCTGCTGGTGTACATACATCAACTTGCACGAAAGGATTAGGTTGACCCAAACGAAACAACCATCTTTGAAGGTCAAAACTTAAGCACTGACAGTTTCATATGGCTCCAACTAATATTATTATCCGCATTTTACAGCTCAGCAAACTGAGTTCAGTAGAGCTATCTTGCCCACTGCTACCCCCCACATCCTTTTCACACTTCATTGTTTAAAAGGAACAAAAAGTCTTGTTAAAAATTTTACAGGTGGGGGCTGGGGATTTAGCTCAGCGGCACAGCGCCTGCCTGGCAAGCGCAAGGTTGTGAGTTCGATTCCCAGCCCGGAGAAAAACAAAAAAAAAACCAAAAAATTTTACATGTGATTAGTGCCGCAGCCAGGATTCAGTACTGTGTGTGCTGTCCTAGCAAGCGCTACATAGCCAGATTCAAACCCGTCTGGCTGCATACTGGAACTATTCCATATCTTGGTTTTGGCTGGCGAATGTCTTCTTTAACTCTCTGTTTTCAACTGTACAGTTGAGGTCAAACTGTCCTTCCACACAGAGGTAACAGATAACCGCTTGGGCCAGAAGAATGCCCAAGGAGCCTCTGGCTCTGCCCACCACAGCGGGCGGGAGCTGCTTCTCACAGGCGCTGCGCTTGCCAGGAAGGAGGGCAACACGCAGGCCGGTCTCTGCCTTCATCCAGCAAAGCAGTTGGCATTTGAAACGAACTCACTGGGCTTAGTAAAAAAAAAAAAAAGAATTTTACATCTGAACTACCTCCCAGAAATGCTGAACTTTCAAGATACTTAAAATAGGAAGTCTGTTACATGTGTAATGAAAAAAAGAAAAAAGAATTCCCCAAATGCAAAACCTTTGGAATTTTTTTTTTTTTTGGTCTTTCTGAGACAGGGTCTCACTATGCAGTTCAGGCTGGCCTTGAGCTCACTCTGTAGCCCAGGTTGGTCTCGAACTCACAACAATCCTCCTGCCTCAGCCTCCCAAGTGCTGGGATTACAGGCGTGCACCACCATGCTCAGCAACCTTTGGAATTAAATATTCAGAATAAAATATCACCTTGCTTCCCCCTGCTCCTTCTCTTCTCCCTTCCCCTCCTTTTTTTTGCAGTACTGGGGACTAAACCCTGAGCCTTCACCTTGAGCTATATCCCCAGCCCTAAATGTTCTCTTTTAGAGAAAGGACACAATGGAAAGATTTTTGTGTAAGCCAAATTAGCAATAAATTGTAAGTCTTGCTAATGGAAAGATTTTCCTGACACTGTAGTTGCCAAATTTCCAGAAATTTTGCATGTCTAGGCTTTCAAGTACTATTTAGAATCCTCTCAGGTTACTTAACTTCCATCTTTAAAAATTAAAAAAAAAAAAGTGTGTTAGCTGGGCGTGGTGGCACACCCCTATAATCTCAATACTCCTGAGGCTAGGCAGGAGGATCCTGCTGCAAGTTTGAGGCCAGCCTGGGCTACAAAGTGCGTTCAAGGCCAGCCTGAACTACACAGCCTCGAAAAACAAAACATAGTCTCAAGAAACAAAAACAAATATCCCCAGAAACAAAACCAAAGAAAGTGTCGATATAATTAGAAAGACATACACCTCCAAACTATTCATTTAGTAGTTGATGAGCTCCAATAAAACCTTAAGGAAAAAGTTCCTTTGGTACTGCTCATGTTACTACATCAGAATCTACGTTCAAAATCTTTCAGTGACTGCACAAAAACACTCCTTCCCATATCCAACCCCCTCCCCCACCGCTGCTGGGCTATTTGCTCCAATAGCCAGAGATTGAATGAAACACTGTGCCTCAGAGGCAGTTCACTGCCTCCTCCACTGCTGCTAGTCACTGGTTCACACCCAGCTCCTACAGCACACTGCTCACATCTGTTGGAGCTCACCTAGGACCGTCTTTGTGGAAGAGTCCAACTTCCTCTTTCGGTGGCAAGCAGAAACACCGAAAGGTCACGCAGGATTTGGAGGCAGATTTATTTACATTGATGGGCACTGATCAGCCCAGATCGCTGGTGGGCTGGGGCTTATATGGGATCAGCAAGCAGGAAGTACAGAGGCAGAATGGCTTGTCGATTGGGGATGGGTTTATACGGTGTGCCTCATAGTGACCAGCTGTGCATCACAGTGATTAGCCGTTTCTAAGAGACAGGAGCAACCGGAACTGGAACAGGAACTATTACCTGGGCAACTAACAAGCTGAAGTACACTGGCTGGCGGCGGGGAGTTCTATTACACGCTCCATCCTATGGGCCTCAGGAATCCCAGCCCATCAGGCTCCCTGGTTCACAGAAGGGGCTCACTGCCATGGAGGATACTGCTATGGCTTGAATGTGTCCCCCAAAAGTTTGTGTTGGAAACTTAGTCCCCAAATTCATGGTAACGGTATTGGATGGAGGTGGTGCTTTGGCAGGTGATTAGGATGAGGTGAGGTCAAGAGGGTCACCCCCCCCCCAAGATGGCATTAGTGCCTTTGTAAGAAAGACTCACACTGGCACACAAACTCTACCCCCGCCGTGTGACTGACACCCTCCCCATGGTACAATGCAGCAAGATGGCCCTATCAGGCTGCACCCAGCTCTCGGACTTTCTAGGCTTCAGAACTGTGAGCTACCTATCTTTATAAACTCCCCGGTTTGTATGTTAGTTACAGCACCTGAAAACAGCCAGAGCATATTCCGTGTTCAGATAGGGAGTGCTTATGAAGCAATACCACGGAAAACACCACAGAGGGAACACGAGCAAGCTACAACAAGGTTCCGCTCTGAGATAACACTGGAGAGCTGCATCCCAACCAGAGCTGGGCCAGCTTCCCAACTGGCTGGAACTGCCGCAGCCCCGGCATGTTTCAGAGACTCTGCTCTAACTCGTGCGGAGCACAGCTCCTCGTAGCCTTCTGCTCTCCCCGGGTGCAGAGTCCAACAATGTGGAAAGGACAACCAGCAGGGCAGTGTTCTAGGTCACAGACAGGAAGCTGGTGGGAGACGGAAAACAGCAACCAACTTCCTCCCACAAAAGAAGTGGTGTCCAGAAGCAGAAAAGAAGAAACTGTGGTTATCAGCTGCTATATCTGTTCCTGTCTTCTCTGCCTCTACTCCAGCAAATAACCGGGAGGTGGGAGATACCCTTTAAAGGGACTTTATCTCCGAGTTTTCTCTCTCACAGCCGGAATTGAGTCACCAAGGTTAACCTGCAGACTCCCACGGGTCTGGGGAGCAGGAGGCCAGGTATTTCTACACCAGGGAGAAGCTGCTGGATCCATTTGTTTGTTTTTTTTCTTACCTGTTTTCCAGAGAGTCACTTGGGGAGCTGGAGTTTTTATTTAAAAGGGGAAAGTGGAGCGAACCAGAGGGCATCTTGAGGCACAGGGCACCTCGGCAGAGGGGAGGTGTGCGAGCCATGCCACACCGCGTGGGCTGGGGCTACAAGGCGCATTCACAGCAGCTGTGGTACAGGAACAAGGGCTTGGGGCCGGGCCCACCTGGCTGTCCCACTCGGGAGCTGTGTGACCTTTCAGAACCTCAGCCCTCTCCTGTGTTTACAGCAGAGCTGTAATAAATGTTCGAGGTACTAGGTGCAGATGCCTGAGCAGGAAGTGCTAGGTATTATTACCAACCCATGCTGGGTCAACCGCACTCCCTGGACCCCAAGCCGGGGGAAGTCTTTCCCTCAGTTGGGGGCTCTGTCCTTTCACTCAGAGCCAGCTGCCGGACACAGTGGGAGGAGCTAGAGAAGGAGGGGCCCTGCATGAGGCTGTTGGTCTGCTCCCCGCACCCTGGCTCGCCTTTGCGTGTTCCAGGCTTGGGGCTGTGCAAACAGCAGGCGTGCGTGGGGGCACTTCGTGAACTGTGCCAAGAGGGGGCGCTGTGAGAGGCCGCTAACTTACCTTATCAAACCCTCTGAGTCCTCCATGCAGACTGTTGGGCTCCCTGTTGATCGGCAGCTGGTACTTCTTCCCATCCAACGTGAATGTCCCTTTGGCAATCCGGTTGGCCACTCTCCCAACCACTGCTCCAAAGTAGGGCTGCTTTTGGAGGTACCCTGCGAGGACAGGAGATTACAGCTTCACTGCTGCCACCGCTCTCCTCTGAGGGAAACTATGCTCTGCTAACAGTTGGGCAGATCAAAGTCCTCAGGGAAGAGCAGGAAAACGGGATTTTTTTCACATAGGACCTTTTCCTTTCCCAAAAGTACTTCGTGTTCATTTAACGAATTTTTATAATGCACAAAGAAATTTAAATCCTCCTTTATTCCATCACCAGAGAGATCTATTGTGCATATTCTTATTTATATCCTTCCCTTTTCTAGCGTATGTATATGTGTGCTTTTTTTCTTTTTATAAAACTGGGACCTTAGCATAATGCTACTTAATAATTTGCTTTTTTTTCTAGGCCAATCAATGTTCTTATCTAAAAATTGTGTTTTTATGTAGTCTCAGGAGAACATTATCTTATTTTTTTTTAAGCCATACAATTAGTATATGGAAATAGCCTTTAAATACAATTAAGTAATACAAAAGGAGGCCAGGTGTGATGGCACGTGCCTGTAATCCCTGCAATTGGGAGGCTGAGGCAGGAGGATCGCCTGAAGTTTGAGGCCAGCCTGAGCTACATAGAGAGTTCAAGCCCAGCCTGAAATGCATAATGAGACTGTCTCAAAAAAACAAACAAACAAACAAACAAAAACACACCAAAGAGGTAGGCTTGCCAGAGAACATATAGGATATCCAGTTAAACTTGAATTTGAGATAATGATTTTTAGTATAAGTATGCTCATGGTACTATTACACATGTGAAGCATCAATTGTTTACCTGAAATTTAAACTCCACACTGTGCTAATCCAGCAACCTTAATACAGGGTGAAACATAAAAGCCCTTCTTCTTCTCTCAACTTCCTTCTCAGCAGTAACCACTGCTAAGAGTTTGCTGTGCACATTTTTTCTTTGCATCAACTGCATAACATACAAACACACACACACACACGTACGTACGTTCTATATACACAGAATTGTACCGTACACATATTTTACAACTTCTCATTGGTCAAATGTCTTACGATCTCTCTACATCACTACATATCTTTCTCCCTTATTCCTTGCCATGACTAAAGGGTACAGAGATGAGTGTGAGGTACTGACGGGCTCTTTTGTGGGGAGAGACGTCAGAGGCAGTGCGGTTGCACTCCTGCAGTTACAGCTCTGTGCCGGGGCATATTCTGGTGCTTTTCCTTTCTCTAAATTCTTCCGCGCTTGGTTTACAACGGGAGAGACTGAGGTCCGGATATAGTCCATTTTGTGTGTGGTATCACCAAGATTTTCATTCAGATCACCCAGAATCCCACTTCCCTTCGCTGAAGTGCTCCATATCCACCTGGTCTTTGGCTGAGCGCAGAATGCAGCTCAAGCCTATGCACTATTTTTCGACTGCTGAGAGGCCCTCAGGATACAGACTCTGAATCAGTTAGGCCAGGTACAGGGCACAGGTTCCCGCACCTCCACTGGCCACGCCCAAGTTAAACACTGGTCGTTCTCTTCTCTTCCAGGCTCACTGTCCTGGTTCCTTCCTTGCTAATCTGGGGTGCCTTGGAGTCGTACCCGTGGCCTGTCACCTAGCTAACACAGATGGGGCACTTTCTAGGTCCTCGTGACGTCCTTGGGGAACTACATTGAACTCCTCTCATCCTCAGAATATTTCCCTGAGGTAGATACTATCATTACCTCTATTTTATGGATGTGGCAACTGAACACAAGAGGATAGGAAAACTACTTGCTGTGGCCGGGCGTGGTGGCACATGCCTGCAATCCCAGCACTTGGGAGGCTGAGGCAGGAGGATCGCCAGGAGTTTGAGACCAGCCTTGGCTACATAGTAAGTTCAAGGCCAGCCTGAACTATATAGCCAGACCCAGTCTTTAAAAAAAAAAAAAAAAAAAGTAGTATATGGGAGGATACGTGTAGGGTATATCCAAAGGCTACCATTTTATATAAAGGACTTGAGCATCTACGGATTTTGGTATCTGTGTGCCACCATGCCCAGGCCTCCCATATACTTTAGTTTTTTCCCATATACTTTAAATCACCCCTAGGTTACATATGAAATCTAAAACAATGTAAATAGCTTTTACACTATTGTGTCAGGGGAATGACAAGAAAGAAGCCTAAATATATTTAGTACAAATGCATTTTTTTTTTCAGACTGGGGACCAAACCCAGGGCTTCACATATGCTAGGCAAGTGCACTACCACCGAGCTATATCCTCAGCCCTGATTTTACTATTATTTTCTGAGTCAGGGTCTTGCTAAGTTGCCCAGGCTGGCCTTGTGACCCTATTGCCCTGGCTTCCCGAAGAGCCGAGGTTATACCCCTGTACCACCACAGCCAGTGTAAATGTAATTCTTTCGCCCCCAAGATTTTCTCTCTGCTGTTGCAGGAATCCACACATATAGAATTCACAGATATGGACAACTGACTGTATCCGAAAGCACAAAACATTCCAGCTGACCACCCCTATTACCACCTCTGGGCATGGGCCGGGCTGATCTCTCTACCAGCTTCCATCTCTCTCCCCATCTTGCTATTTTTCTCAAGCTGTAGCTTTAAAACAACTTACACTGGTGTCTTAGTTACTTTTCTCCTTGCTGAGATGAAATACCTGACACCCAAGGTTAAAGGAGAAAAGTTTACTATAGCTCAGGTTTCCGTTCACAGCGGGCTGGCTCCAAGGCAGGGCGGCAGAGAGAGAGGCATCACAGAGCAGGCAGGCTGAGGGCAGCAAGCAGCAAGCAGCAAGCGACCCTTGCATCTTATCCAGGCTACCTGCCCTTAGGGCGGGTAGCACTCACACCCAAGGCGGGCACCCTTATTCTTAGCATCGCCCGTGAGTCAATCCCAGCATCAGATCCTTGATCCAGCATCAAACACTCTAGATCCAGCCACCTCCCAAAAGCCCCACCTATGGCCACAGGAGGCTTTGGGGGACATCTAGACACAAGCCGTAACAACTGGTTAACCAAAAGGATCCGTCCCAAAGGGCCAAACACGAAAAGCTTTTCACACAGAGAAGGGGATGATCCCTTTCCTAATCACCAGCAAGGATCATAGCAAAGACAGGCTACCAAGCAAAAAGCGTCACATATGTCACATATTTCTTTGATCGTAGTTTATTTGACACAGGCAGATGAAGACTTAATGACCTCAGGGTGAACTATCTATTTCTGTGCTTGGGTGTGATAAAGCATGGACAGCTATGGAGCAATACGATTGGACAAGAAAGGTTTGATAAAATAATAGTGACCGAAGGAGAAACCCAGCGAGGCCTGCCTGTCCAGATTCTTTTTGGCCCCTCTGGGCAGCATTCCTTCTTCCCGAATATGGGGCAGGGCCCTTTCTAGTGTGGTGAAGCCTGGGACCTACAATCAACCAAGGCAGGTGAGAGAATATTTTTTTTCTTCCTTTTTTTTGCAGTTCTGGGAATTGAAACCAAGGGTGGTCTACTATGGGGTTACATCCCCAGCCCTTTTTGTTTTTTAAAGTCCTTAAATACCCTTGAGTTTGTTACTTTCCTGCCTCAGCCTACCAAGCAGCTGGGATTACAGGAGTGTTCCATGGTGCTCAGCAGAGAATTTTTTTTATGGCCAACTCTTTGACAGAAAGAGTAGAAGCGCCTACTTGGCAAAAGCAAGGTCCTGAGTTCGATTCTCAGTACAAAAGGAAAAAAAAAGTAGGGGCACGTAGAGTAATATTTCTAGGTTTTATGCTTGGTTTTGGGAAAAAGGGTTTCTGGTTCCTATGATCTGCCCTGGTGAAGGACAATAAGTCAGAACTATTTCTTAGTTTCTTTTTTTTTTTTGGTACCAAGAATCAAACTCAGGACCTTGCACTTGCCAAGCAAGGCACTGTGCCGCTGAGCTATATCCCCGGCCCATAAGAATTATCTGAAGTTTTTTCTTTGGTACCGGGACTCGAACTCAGGACCTTGTGTTTGCCAGGCAGGTGCTTGTGCCACTGAGCTACATCCCTGGCCAGAAGCTATTTCTAAAGCCTTCACTTTGGGGTATTGTTTTCTGAACCCCAATAAAACTAAAAGAAATGTAAAGAGAAGCAGAAATTTTGTCTCAATGACTGTTAGGCTGTCACTAATTTTTAGTCCTACTTTGACTTATCCCACAATGTACACAGAGCCGCCGCTCTCTGCCGGAGGTCCCTGGGCGCCACAGACAAGCACATACCGGGCGGCAAGACTCCCGCCACCGGCCGGCGCGGAGTCCCTCAGAAGCAGCCCCTCCCTGGCAAAGCCAGTCAGCCCACAGAGATCACAAGCACTCGCCAGGTTGGATGGGCAGCCGTGAAGGGTTAGAGCACAGGACAGAGAAACCGTCATTCCCAGCTGTCTCTGAAAAATCCGTCAGAGAACAGAGTTCACACCGTCTTCAAATGTTCCCAACGATTCACGTCAGATCAGAATCGCAAAAACTGACAACCTCCAAATCCCGCATGGGGCAAGACTAATGTTTTGAATTGCAGAAAACAGTGTTTTCCATGCAGAGTTCAAAGATCCTAGGTCAGTCCACATGAACGCTGACTCTATCCAGGCAGTTGCCGAGGGGAGGGAAAGTTGGCCTGTTCTCTGGGGAAAACACTGGCTGGAATAACTTAATATGCTTAGCCGTGCAATACGCTCTTTCCACTCTGCGGACTCCCCCAGGCCCTCATTATCACACCCACTTCAGAGAGAAATAAAAGTATTCACTATTCTCACAAAACTTTTATCCCAGAGTAACTATGCTTTGGCTTTATGAGGAAAGGAACTGAAAACCGACAATTGTTTTAATTATCACAGATCGATCCATCTATCTACGATCCTTTTTTCGTTGAGACAGGGTCCCAATGTGTAGTTCAGGCTGGCCTCGAACTCACTATGCAGCCTAGCTGGCCTTGAACCTGCAGCAATCTTCCTGCCTCAGCCTCCTGAGTGCTGAGATTACAGGGATAGGTCACCATGCCTGGCATCGATATTTTTTGCAAGCAAAATGAAACAAAAAGTTCTAGTAGGGTGAGGGAAGATATTTGGGGGCAAAGGAAGGGAAAGGGATAAAAATGACGAATTGTTCATCCTGATTAGACACATATCACACTCCACAGTGCATTTAATCATCCCTGTCTGTTTCAGGAGAGGGATGGGTCTGGAGTAGTTCAGTCGAGGGCCTAAGACCACACAGCTCTAAGGGACAAGGGAGATTTCAACGGGGCACCCTCAACGCTCCCACAAAGGCACTCTCGGGCATCTGCCACATTCAAGGGCTGCTTCTACCCAGATGCCTTTGATTCCCACCACGCCCTCCTTGTGAACTCAGGTTTTCTAAAAGCACTAAGTTTGTTTACTGTGTTCCTGGGGATCAACCCAGTGTCCTATGCAAGTTAGGCAAGTGTGCTACCACTGAGTCAAGCCCCCAGCCCTAAAACCAGAGTTCGTTCTATTGTATTTTTTCCCACAAAAGTTCTGATTGCCCTGATAGGGTGATTGGTGGTAACTAGCAGAAAAGTCAAGGGGAAAAAGTCTCACTGACTGGGTAGTAAGGTTGTCTGTATCTGTGACTTATAAGCAAATATTCTCATCACAGGCTTTGAAAGAAATCTAATGCTCTTGGATTTGAAAGAAATCTAATGCTCTTAGATTTGAAAGAAATCTAACGCTCTCTTTAAAAATCTAATTTTTAAAGACAAGAAATGGTAGGAAAAGCTCAAAGGAGGCATTACTGATTTTTTTTTTCAGACTGTAACTAAAAGATCGTACTATTTACCTCTTTAGAATTATACAGAGAAAAGATCTCATTTTCCCCAGGAGAAATGGAACCATTCTGACCTCCAGTTATGGCTGTCATCCAAGCAGTTTATATAACCTATCTGGGAAACTAAAGATTGTTCACATTCAGCCTGGCAGTTACAAAAGGCCCATGTCTCATGGAATTACCCATGCTTGGCCCTTCCTCATGGATCAAAACATTTTGGGGGCATGGTAATGTCAAGATAATCCCGTATTGTGTCAAGTCTTATTACTTCATTTACCTCAGCCTGTTCATATATACTTACATAATCAGACTTTTTAAAACGATATTGAAAACTGTGTCCATCCTATATTCTGCATCCCAGTTACCCAGCTTCTTTTCTTAAGAATAACCACTGCTGGGCAGACTGGTGCACATTTGTAATCCCAGCACTCGGAAGGCTGAGGCAGGAGGAGTGCCATGAGTTTGAGGCCAGCCTGGACTACACAGGGAGTTCAAGGCCAACCTGAGGTACATAGCAAGACCTTGTCTCAAAATACCAAAAAATAAAAAATAAAAAAAAGAATAACCACTGACACTCGTTTCTTAACATGGATTTTAAGATGCCAGAATTAACCAAAATAGTTGCAGAGAGCCATTTCATACTTTTACGCCTGAGATAGCCTGCTTCCTGTTATGACGCGGGACATGCAATACTAAAGGACTCTCTGAAAAACTGAAAGACAGGGACCTAAAAGGGGAACTAAGGTCCACTTAGAATGACCTCAAAGACCGCTAAACACATTAGGAAGCACTACTTTATATTCTAAGGATATTCTCCTTCCATCTTTCTGAAAATAGCATTCATGCCTTTTAGAATAATTAAATTGTCTAAATTATAACACAGGAGTGAAAATGTCCATCCTGATCCAGCACCAAGAAGAGTATCTGAAATGCTTTGACTCAACTTGGCATTTGGTAAAGCTGTATGCATCCTGATAAGAAAACGCTAGCAAGCCGGGTGTGGTGGCGTGCGCCTGTAATCCCAGCACTCGGGAGGCTGAGGCAGGAGGATTGTTGTGAGTTCAGGCCAGCCTGGGCTACAAAGTGAGCTCAAGGCCAGCCGGAACTGCAAAGTAAGACGCTGTCTCAAAACAAACAAACAAACAAACAAAAAAACCCATTTATTTTACTGATTACCAAGCACGGGTAATTCCATTTCCTTTAGTAGAGTTGACACTTCCATGCCTGCAGGAAACGTGCTTCCTGGGTGCCAGGTCATTGCAGCCCACATTTCATATAAAATCAAAAGAATTCTGCTGAAGAAGTGCCCCTTCTCCAAGCCAAGCGTGGAAGCTCAGGGCACACAGAGAACCAGAAGCAAGGAAGAAGACCCTCACAACATTCTTATCCTAAGTTGTACTAATGACATGAAATATTTTTTTTTCTATGGTCAAAACAAAACAAACAGAAGAGTTTTCCTCTTGGCCCCAAATCAGGAATCACTTTCAACATGTAAAGAACCAAACAGATGCCGGGTGTGCTGGCACAGGCCTGTAATCCCAGCACTCAGGAGGCTGAGGCAGGAGGATCATTGGGAGTTCCAGGCCAGCTGGGGCTGCAAAGTGAGCTCAAGTCCAGTCTGAACCGCATGGTGAGACCCTGTCTCAAAAAGACAAAAAGACCAAAAAAAAAAAAAAAACAAAACAAAACAAAAAAAAAAACAAAAACCAAACACAATGACATGCCTAAAGGAAAATCCTCACACCTCCTCTGAAGCAAGAAACTGTCTACATAACCCACCACAGGCTAGAGGGTATTAATTGTTTACCTTTTCCATTTCTATTGCAGACCTCGTTTTCTGTCTAGTTACACCATAACGCAAAAAGATAGCACAATTTACCTTTTCCCTTGCTGCACCCACCTGCAATTATAATTATTTCTTTATGCTACCGGTGGGTTAAAACCTGTCTCTTCAGCTAAACTGCAAGCCCCTTGAAAGTGGGAACCGCGTTCGTCCTGCTGAATTGGGCTTGCTGAATTGATTTCACGGAATTAAAAGTTTTAAAGTCCATGAATTAATAATACATGATCCTAATTGCCATGGATTCTGATGGAATAAAAGTTCATGTAGTTAGGAGGAAGCCTCATTTATAGACAGAGCGGGCTTCTTTCCTTACGTACTTGCTTACTGAGCAGAAGGGGAGGTGGGGGCGCTGGGCATTACACCTCCACGGACCAACGCAGGCCGACTCTACTCATACAATCTGCTCGCACTCCGGTGAATTCGGGGACAGCCAGGCCTGGAACGGCCTCTCACAAAGGAAGGAGGAAGAGGAAGGCGCATGTTTTGATTTTCCTGCTTCAGAAAGAGAACAGGGAGCCACACCCCCCTCTGACCTGCAGTTCAGATTGCCCCAGGGTTGCTGAAGCTTTGACCCAATCACGACCGACTTTTTGGTTAACCAGAGGCAAAGCCCGAAAGGATAGTCAGACACCAAGTCCTAGAGCTATGTGCATTCACTCTGCTATTTGTTTTTTGTTCTTCCAGGCGCCGATCACAGCACAATCTTGTTAGCACGATCCGCGCGCACTCGAGTGAGACGGTCCCAAGCTCAGGGACTTTGCCCTCCCGCCCTGAAGCGGCGGCGGGCGGCCCGAGCGAGCCGGGGTGTGCCCGGGGCAGACGCAACCCACCTTCCAACTCGGCAAAGCCGAGCACCACGTCGGAGGCTTTCCCCTGCCTGTCTCTGACCTCCAGAGCCGTGATCGTGCAGCCCCAGGAGATGACGTCCACTCTCAGCTGGTCGGACCGCAGCTGGAACTTCTCCACCGCCCCTCCGGCCGAGGGCAGCTCTCCAAACGCGCTTCTGCTCACCGAAACCATTGGGGAAGTTCGGACGTGCGGCTACTCCCGGCTCCCGGAATGCCAGCGGCCACGCCAGCGACGCCTGGAGTTTACTGGACGCGGGGCGGGACTCTGCGTGGGCTCCTCCCCCTCGGCGTCTGGATTTAGGGACTGACCATTCCGGCAAAAAATGTCCTCTGGTGCTTTTCGGACTCTTTTGCCTGAGGCCACAGAAAGGCAAACTTTCCGGCCAGGCTTGCAGTTCTTTTCCTTTACCAACTTAGCCGCACTGCATGTCGGGAATGGTAGTCTTTTGGGAAGTGAAATTGCATTTTGGGACCTGTAGTCTTTCTAAACCCAAAACGAGAGTCCTAGGAGTTCCACCCACTTGTTCCGCCCACCTTCTCTTTTTTTTTTTTTTGAGGAAGGGTCTCAGCATGCAGTTCAAGCTGGCCTCGAGCTCACTTTGTAACCCAGGCTGGCCTCGAACTCTCAACGATCCTCCTGCCTCAGCCTCCCGAGTGCTGGGATTACAAGCGTGCGCCACCTCGCCCGGCCCGCCCACCTTCTCGACATGCAATGAGCAGGTGTGCCGGGAGCCCCGCTTCTTGTTCCTGAAGTCCAAATTCCTGTAAGAAGAAATTAAGCAACACTGGGGTCCCTGTAAGTGCCAGCTCGCATGCCCACAAATAGGAAGAAGTCCCAGAAGTACGGTTGCGAGAGGAAAGTCCTGAGGTCATTCAAAATCCTCTCGCCTTGGTGTGCCCTCAGAATGACCTCAGGTATTAAGACTCTCATTCCTAGGCCCTCTCCTGCAATTTCTGATTCTGGCAGCCTAAGGTGATAATTAGGAGTCTGCATATTTCACACCCCTCAGGTTATTCTAATGCGTATTTACCTCCAACCAGACTTCAAGGAAGATTGATGGCTAACTCAGATTTCCCCCCAAATTAGGCTCTGGTGGAAGACTATGATAAATCTATTGTAGAATCTTAAGCCGGGCGTGGTGGTGCACATCTGTAATTCTAGCACTTGGGAGGCTGAGGCAGGAGTATTGTTGCGAGTTGGAGACCAGCCTGGGCTCCGAAGTGAGCTCAAGGTCAGTCTGAACTTCATAGTGAGACCCTGTCTCAAAAAGACAAAAAAAAAAAAACAAAACAAAAAACCAGAATCTTACTAAGACTACGAGATAAAATACAGGTATCTCTGTATTTCTTCGCTGCATCTGGCAACTCTAGAAGGGTACCGGCGCTAGGGAGGAGGTGGGTGCTAGGTTGCTCTTCAGGTTTGGCTTCACACACAGTCGGCCTTATATTCAGTCGTCTTTGCTTGGCCCTGCTTTTGGCTTGGTTCCTGGATATCCAGCCAGACTGTGGTATGCTCGGAAATGCATCTGTGATTAGGAAATTAGGAGAACTGGGGAGATGTTCCTGTAATCAGACGCTAGTAAAACATCATAAATGTCTCTCGGCCTCTTCTGTCTGTGTAGTTTGAAGGAGGATTTAGCATTCTTCCCACAAAGCCTCAATCTCCACTACCAAACCGGGGAGGAATTCTGATAGCAAAGGAAAGACAGGCTTGCAGCAGGCAACGTATAGTAACAAAAAGACCCAAACGAGGCAAATTACAGGCCGGGCTGCGCGCGTACAACCATCACCGGGCGCTCCCGGCTGCTGCCTCATCAGAAGTTCTCAAGCGCTCCGCACGGTCCTTCGGCCCGCTTCACAGTAGTGCAAGCCCTGTCGGCCGTGCTGTGTCAGCGAGGAGGTCTTAGAATCTCTCCTGTGAGCAGGAAGACCACATTTTTTTCTCTTTCAGCCTCCAGTTCTCAGTGTTCTGCCAAGCTCTTGCCATCGCAGAAGAAATAAACGCGCTTGAGTAGCCAGCACCCAGGGTCGCTAGGGGAGGGGACGTTGCCTGGCTTGGTAGAAAATGGAACACGTAGTGTTTCCCTAAGATGTAAGGAGGACGCTTCTTGAGTTCATTTTCCTTTCACTTTGAAGTGTTTAACCAGTTGTTCTAACAGGACTTCCTTGAGCTTAAGACAGCTGTCAGGCACAAGCTGATTTTTTTTTAAAATCTAAATATCCCACTTTCTTAATCTCACAGTGATAATGCTGAAGGAATATTTGCCCCCCCCTCCCATCTAGGGGAATATTTTCCATCTGTGAGAAGGTCAGAAGCAAGGAAATAATATATACAATGAAACACTGCCCAATTCTGGGAAGTATTTAATTTAATTTTGAGCTAAGCCTGAAGGCAAGTTTACGAGGTAAAGGGAGCAGGACTTGTGACATTTTTTGTAAAAGAGGAATCATTTTTCTTTCAACTAGAGGGGGAGGTGTCAGGAGGTACAAATAAAAAATATGGCCTGGGGGCTGGGGATTTAGCTCCGTGTCATAAGCGCCTGCCTGGCAAGCGCAAGGTTGTGAGTTCGATCCCCGGTACTGCAAAAAAAAAAAAAAGAAAGAAAGAAAGAAAGCATATGGCCTGTTTCTCCTCAACTGGAGGTTAGTCCCCAAAACAGAATGCCGAGCGGGTGGCGCCAGAGGAAACGGCAGCCCTCAGACCCTGCCTCCTCCTCCGCCTCCTTCTACACAGACCTGCGGAATGCGCTGTTTCTGGGACATCTCAGCTCCTGGATTCATAGAAATGACTTTGAAGCCTTAAGCTGCTGACAGGCTTCTGCACAGGGAAACTCTCTGACATATAATTACAAAACCAACTCACAGCTTGTCTATACAGAGATCTGGAATGGATTTGCTTCCATCAGGTTGATACGTTATTGCAGACCCATTCTCCGTCTCATTCCTTGCCAGTTCTTCTCAGGATTCCTTATCTCCCCATAATAATTTTTTTGTTATTGTTTATTCCACGTTGGCTCTTTAACTCAATATTTTGACTTAGTTGTTTTCTTGTTTTTGTTTTGTTTTTTGTCTTTTTGAGACAGGGTTTCGCTATGCAGTGGCCTTGAGCTCGTTTTGTAGCCCAGGCTGGTCTCGAACTCGCGGTGATCCTCCTGCTTCAGCCTCCCTAGTGCTGGGATTACAGGGGTGCACCACCAAGCCCAGTTTAGATTTTTTGTTTTGCAAACCAAACTCATTATACTTGGTTTCAGATTTTTAAAAAAAACCTTATATCAGGAAGCCAGGAATACCAGGGAGAACCTTATTAAATTCAGGAGAGGAAGAATTCTTCACAGTTCAATTCCGATTAATTTCATCAATAATTCTGGAGGGGAAGTCATCATGGGGGGGCGTGTGGGAAGTTATTCAGGAAGATGGGCCAAATTTCTGTAGGATGTGTTGTGCAGCTGTCAAATATTAAAGGAGTATTTGCCAAGCACTGTGCTAAATGCTGGTTATACATTAATCAGTAAAGCATGATCTTCTTTGAGGAGGTTCTAGGTTAGCATGATACAAACCTCATCTCTATCTTCTGCAAAAACTTCAGTTAAATCTTCAGAATTCACTATCAGCCAATGCTGGATGAAACCCTCAAGGTTTTTGTAATTTCAGGATTGCTCAAAGACGACCAGCTCTATGGGGATTATTGTAAAATTTCTAGGACCAAGCACAGCGACTGCCTCATGTTAGTTGTTCAGTAAATAATTATTGAATGAGTCCATGACACGTTCTTATGTGCAGATAATGCCACTGTGGAGAAATGCCTCTGGTTTCAGAAGACGTGAGTTCAAGAGGCACCAGCACTTACTCGCTGGGTGATTAGTTCAACCACTCTTAACCTCAATTTCCTCATCTGTACAATGGGAACAATTCATATGATTGGCTCGTCCAATTATTATTAGTGGAATGCTAGTAAACATAAAGTATTAAAAATTTCCTTGGTACCATTCTAAAAGTGTGTTAGGTACCATCGTAAGTACCCCTGACCATGCCCTATGGTCTGATACAAAACTGAGACAGAGGTTAAGGTTGTTAAAGGTCACATGGTCAGTAAGTCAGGAAGCCAAGACTGGATCCCAAGTAGCTGGGCTGCAGAGATAGGAGCACATAACCACTTCCTTATCTGCTGCCTGACATTGTGATCATCGGAGAACATGAACAGCAAAGCATTTTGTGTACTGTAACACATTACAGGGCCGTAAACATGATCACCTTCTAAGGTAATTGTATAGTTTTAAAAATTGGTTTCTTGAATCAGGTCATGTTGGGCTCATGAAGTGCCTGCCATGTGGGGTGAACACACATCTGTAATCCTAGCCCTTGAGAGGCTGAAGCAGGAGGATATCTGAGAGGTCAATCTCAGCCCAAGCTACATGGTGAGTTCAAAACCAGCCTAAACTATGTGGTAAAACCCTGTCTGAAAGACAAAAAAAAAAAAAAAAAAAAAAAAAGAAGAAAAAGTTCTTAACACCCACGGATCCTGCTTTACATTGTAACGATTTTAGTATTTTTTTATGTGCATGCATTAATTTTGACATAAGTAAAAAGAATTTAGAAAATAACACAAATTGAGTATAACACAGTATTTGTTTGCTACTAAAGCAAAACAAAACAAAACAGAATCATATTAGAGTTACTCTTTCGCTAATTCACCTTTTCATTTAAAAGCTCGGATTTTTTCTGTGCCGGTTTTTGTAGAGGACCTCGATCCTCATCATAACTGCAGAGTGTTCCCCTGTGTGAATGCACTGCAGTTCATCTTTTATTCAGGCTGTGACCAGTGTTCAGGGTTACAAGAAATGCGGTCGTGGATTCACCTGTGTATATTGCTTTAGGGAGTTAGGCAAGAATGCAGGTAGCGTAGATTATTACCAGCAGAATTACTGGATCAAAGGGTGAATCTGAAATGCACGCATTTTTAATTTGAAGTTCATTTTCAACTTTTTGAAGAATTTCAAATTTATAGAAAACTGGAAGAACAGTACACTGAACACCAGATACTCTTTGCCTGAATTCAGTAATTTTAAGATGCATTTGGGTTATTTTTTCTAGTTCGACTCCTCCCCTTCTCCTTCCTCATCTTTGAGAGTAAATTGCAGGTGTCATAATCCCTCACCCCTAAATCTATCGGCATGGCAGACGGG